CTGAGGACGGAGAGCCCGGAGGACAAATCCCCCCGTGAGACCCTGGTGGGAGAGGCCATTTTGAAGGGCTCCACGGCGCAGGAAGGCAGCGGGGAGGAAAAGGCCCAGAGATCCCCTGGCAGGAGGGGCTCCAAATCCAGCCCAGAGTGCTCTGAGGAGGAAAGACCCAGCCTGTGCCGGGAAGGCGGCCAGAGCTTGAGGCAGAGCTGTGACCTGGTGGTCCCTGAGCAGCCTCCCAGCAGGCAGAAGCCCTTCAGGTGCTTGGAATGTGGGAAGAGCTTCAGGAAGAGCTCCGACCTCCTCAAGCACCAGCACACCCACACTGGGGAACGTCCCTACACGTGTGGGGAATGTGGGAAAAGCTTCAGTGACAGCTCCACCCTTCGCAAACACCAGATGATCCATACTGGGGAATGTCCGTACACATGTGGGGAATGTGGGAAGAGCTTCAGGAATAACTTCAACCTCCTCAAACACCAGCGCATCCACACTGGGGAACGACCCTATTTGTGTGGGGAATGTGGGAAGAGCTTCAGTGACAGCTCCACCCTCCGCAAACACCAGATGATCCATACTGGGGAACGTCCGTACACATGTGGGGAATGTGGGAAGAGCTTCAGCCAGAGCTCCGACCTCCTCAAGCACCAGCGCATCCACACTGGGGAACAGCCCTACACGTGTAGGGAATGTGGGAAGAGCTTCAGCCAGAGCTCCAACCTCCACGGCCACCAGCGCATCCACACTGGGGAACAACCCTACCAGTGTGGGGAATGTGGGAAGAGCTTCAGCCGGAGGTCACACCTCCACACCCATCAGCTCATCCACACCAGGGAACGGCCCTACAAGTGCTTGGAATGTGGGAAGAGGTTTCAGACCAGCTCCAATCTGCTCAAGCATGAGCGGACGCACACGGATGAGAGGCCCTTCCGCTGCACCGACTGTGGGAAAGGCTTCAAGCAGAACTCCACCCTCATCACCCACCGGCGCATCCACACTGGGGAGAGGCTCTACAAGTGTGGGGAGTGTGGGAAGAGCTTCACTGACAGGTCTGGCTTGACCCAACACCAACGGACCCACCAGTAAGGAAAGCCCTACCAGTGCCCCGACTGCGGGAAGAGCTTCGGCCACTGCTTCCACCCCGAATGAAGCCCCTGATGGTGAGGCAACCCCTGGAGTCCAGTGACTGTCAGTCCATCCCTTTCAACCAGAAAGGGCCAGTCCCCTTTCCCAGGGGCAGCTTCTTTCATCAGAATCTTTCTTAGGGGGATGTGTGGAGATTCCTGCCTTGGCTGGGGACCCCCCAAGGTCAGTCCTGGAGGTTGAGAGCAGAGATCTCCCCACCAGCATTGGTCTGGGGGAGTTCCATCCATCTCTAATTAAGAATTCTTGCTTTTGTGCCAGCTTGAGTAGAATTGCTTCAAGACTTGCTTTAGTGTAGAGCACTGTCCTATCTTATCCTGTACTCCTGGTAGTTTTAGTGTTTCTATTGTGCAGTAAGTAATTCTGATGAAGATCTTTTGTCTGATCCTTTGTAACCCTGAATAAATTCATTTCTATCAGTAGATCTGATTTGCCATCATTAAAACTTAGGGGACAAAAGTGGTTCAGTCACATCTCTGTAGTTCCTCTAAACTGAATGTGTTGGCATAAACCGATGCCTTAAGACCCTTTTAGTTTTTATTTTTTTTTTCTAATTTTTCTAAGCTTTATATGTACTTATAGTAGAAGTAGATTTTAGAAGTAGCTATATTATATTCCTCACCCTTTAGCACAAGTAGTTTACACATTCCTCAACCCTCTCACCCCATTCCATGCTCCCTATATCAATTTTACCCCTGAATTCAGTAGAAATGTTTAGTCTCTTGTCAAGACAAGGCCTGTGCTGTTTGGAGAACACTCATATCTTGGCCTGAACAGCAGAACACAGTCAAGAACTGGGTGACCAGGTACCCTTTGTGCTCTGAAGATGATGAGAATGATGGAGTGGTCCCAAAAAGCCCCCAGACCCAATTCACAGGGGGTGGGCCTAGTGTGTGTTTTGTTTGTGTTTTGCAACCATGGGTTGTGTGGATTCAAAGTTTAAGATTCCTAAGGAATCTCCCCCTGAGTTTGGTTTTGAAACACTGGAAAACTTTGACTGGTTCTGAGACAACTTTAAAAAAGGAAGAACTTTGTAGGCTGTCTGTAGGTGCTTGGCCCTTGTTTGGACAAATGAGAGGAGTGACTTGGCTGGAATTTGGTTCTTTTGAACTAGACAGTGTTGCAATTAATTTTGCTTTTTAATGTAGAACAGAAATGGGAAGAAATCCAGTATGCAGAATTGTTTATGTTTCTATTACCATGCCCTGGATTGGGAGGGGGAGATAAGAAAAATGAAGGCTCAAAAGAGACAGAAAAATCAGAAATGGCTTTAGAAAAAGGGAAGAAGAAAAGTAGAGTTAAGGCTGCTCCCGTCCCACAAATTTTATTGAAAGTTTTATTTAAGTTCCTTTCTCACTGGTTGAGTTACAGCAATGGAAGGATTCTGTAGGGGCATATAGAGATAACCCAGAGAGAGCAGCAAACTATGTCCAGAGAGCAATCAAAACTCAGAACCCTGACTGGTATGACCTGGAAGTTATGATGGACACTTTATTAGATCAAACAGAGAAGGAGATGGTAAAAAGAGCTGCTCGAACTGCAACTGAGATGCTTAAAACCTCTGGGCAGTTTCCAGGGGAAGATATTAAGGACATCTTCCCCCCCGACGATCCCAAATGGGATCCCAATGTACCAGAAAATCTGGAAGCATTGAAACGTTATCAAGACTGGGTAATTTATGGATTCTGGCGTGGGGTTCCGAAGGCGATAAACTGGTCCAAAATGTGTGAGGTTGGACAAGATACAAATGAATCACCCACAGATTTTCTGAACGGGTTGAAGGATGTCATCAGGAAATATACTGACATGGACATAGAGTCAGATCTGGGAAAGAAAAACCTGGTGTACTTATTTGTGGGGACAGTCCACAGATGACATAAGGAAAAAAATTAGAAGCTGAAATTAAATTCAGCAAGGGGGGGGGAAAAAGTTGTAATTCCAGGTACTAAATATATCGAGGCAGCTGCTTTCTTTATACAGGAAAGTCATGGAGAGATCCCTGCAGAAGTTGAAAATGCTGTCAATACCTTTAGTCTGGGTCAGCGAGTACCCTGGGAAGTCAAAGCAAGCTGAACCAGTAAGCATCACACTCAGGCCAGGAGCAGTCCCGGTAAGGCAAAACCAATATCCTTTGAAACTAGAAAGCCGAAAAGGCTTAGCACCTATAATTGAAAGGTTTCTTAAATTTGGTTTACTGGTGGAATGTGAATCCAGTTTTAATACCCCCAACCTACCGGTAAAAAAGGCTGATGGCAAAAGCTATCGGCTGGTCCAAGATCTTAGGGCCATCAATAAAATAACTGAGGACATCTACCCTATACACTGTTAACCACATTGACAGAAGATTTAGGGTGGTTCACTGTACTTGATCTTAAAGATACCTTTTTCTGCATTCCTGTACACAAAGACAGCCAAGAGCTTTTTGCCTTTGAGTGGGAAAATCCTGAGACAGGGAGGAAAACGCAACTAACCTGGAGAGTCCTTCCACAAGGCTTTAAGAACAGTCCAACAATTTGGCCCTGAAAACGGCCAAAGAGGGAGTTGTAACGTGGACAGAGGAGACCAGAGATGTGTTTAAACAACTGAAACAGTCCTTGATGTCAGCTCCAGCACTAGGATTTACCAGATTTAACTAAACCTTTCGAACTGTTCACACACGAGCAGTTGATGCCAATTTGTGCCCCAAAGAAGGCGCGGAGAAACTGCTCAGAGACGAATTTTCAGTCTATAAGCAGGAGGTATTTATTTATTTACGGCCGGAGAGCAGCCCAGGTCGCCCTGGACAAACTACTCCGCTCGAGTAACTTACAATTGAGCCTTTTATATGCTTTTTGTCAAGCAATTGCATCACACATTATGAATATTCATTATATTGCAACATCGACTTTTAATATTCATAACAGGCAGAGTTGAGGCGGAGTTAGACATGTGGTCTCCAATTTGGGGAGAATTTCAGGGGTCGTTCCTGTTCTTCATCTTCATGAACTCAGTGTCCTTCCATCATCATCTTCATAAACTTTTGATCCT